AAAAATTATGTAGATTGTATTTTTACTCCTTTGATAAAAAAATTCGTCAAATTGAGCATAAAATTTTCAGGTGACCATATGATCTATGAGCCTCATAGATGTATTATGTAAACTTAATTCATTACCAGTCTGGAATAACAGAATTTAAGGTAGGTCCCTACTCGTGGAATTAATTGGTTAACAGTGCAATTTTTGTCCTGATTTACATTGATAGACACTTTATCTACTTCAAAAGCACAAAAAGTAGAGAGATAATCTATATATTTAATGAGATAGGGTGTGAAACACTCATGTACCCTCTTGTACCAAAAACAAAATCACGACTGTTATAAAGACGGTCTATATTTTATGTCATAGCACACGGCAAATAAATTCTTTTGAACATAAATCACAAGGATAAGGATAATAATGAATAATTTCAGGCTGCAGTACACATTACTGGTTGAAACTAAGAAAATATTGAAGAATTAATCTCATTTTACTAATAAAATAACTGAGCTCAAAACTCAAATAAACCTCTCTACTAGAATAATTAATTTGTTTACCCTGATTTTTTGTCTTTATTTATGTCAACCGATGCTTGAAGTATCTTTTAGGCATGATACATTTATTGGTCATCTGTCTTTTCACCGAGATATGGGGTAAAACATACAGGTACCCCCATCGCAGTTTAATAGCTAAAGCCTTTTATGTCAACAAAAATATTCATAAATCAGCTAAAAAGTTAAATATTCTTTTTAAGAGTCAAAATCAGCAAGCATCGAGCATTGAATGAAAAGTCAAAATTTTATTTCTTCAAAACCTTTTGGTATATGAAAGATTTTGTCTTACCTAATGCTAAAACACAATTAAAAATTTTTTCGAACGTATGAAGGGACTGGTATCCATGGAAATTCATTTCCTTAGCAACGGGCTCATAAATCCTTATGAAAATCAATGATTTTTAGACATTTTTCTACGAATATGTTTTCTGAACGTGATAAGATAAGGTATTTTGGTTACCTTATTTGTTAAAAGATGGAATTACTTTTTTCTCAAAAAATAGGAAAAACAAAATTTCCGTAGTTATATTGTTGCCATGACAACGGGAAAAGAACATGGCGTCAATGCTTATTAATTTTGAAAAAAGTTACATATGTTTATCACTTTATTCACAAAATCTACAACCACTGCTGGAAAAATGAATGGTATGATCTTGTTAGGGGTTATCTATATGTCATATCTATACAATAAAATTTGCAGGCAACTTTAGCAGAAAAAAGTTACAAATGGTTAAAATGTGTGAAAATCTGGCATTTATAAGCTTTTTTGAAGGGGTGGGGGTAATTTGAATACATGTTCAGTGTCCATTATATTGGCCATATTCCCAGCAGACACACAACATTGAATAAACTATGAATCAACGTTGTTTTTCTATGTTGATTCAACATTGATTTTATGTTAGATTTTGAAAATTTGTATCAATGTTGAAGTCTTAACATTGAATCAACATTGATAATCAACGTTGATTATTTGTTGAAAAACAGTTGATTCAACATTTATTCAATTATTTATTTTGGAAAGGGGGTGTCATATATTAATAATATACTTTAATACTTAAAATATCAACCGTTTATTGCACGGTTGCTAAGATGCCTTCGTGATTGTTGGAGGGATAGCGATCGACCCTCTGATAAGACAGATAACTTTCAAAGTGCAAAATAGTAAAACTACTCCTCAGATCAAACATATGATGGAAACATTTCTTTCTATTCCTTTTGCAAATTTCTTTGTAATTGTTTTATTATATTTAACAATAAACCATTTAAATCCAACATCAAATGCCTTATAAATTGAATAAGGTATATCTTTTTAAGTACCATTTTAAAAATGGTTTAATATTTCAAGTACTTAAAACTTAAATTTTAATTAGAATGACTTTTTTTTCACTTGAAGAAATATTTTAAAGAAAGATAACTCCTCATTACAAATATATTATTTTCTTACAACCACATTCAACATTGTGATTTTCTGACAAATACAATGTAGTAATTATTGTTTTCATATGCACCTCATACATTATATTGAATGTTGTGGTAATAAATCGTTACTCTTTCTATTCTCTGTGTTCAATTTCTTCATTTCATGATCTGCACATAAAATAATTTCTGAAAAAATAAGCAGCGCTTTATACTTCAAACTACTTTCCATGTGGCTCTAATGTAATTCTTTCTGAAAATCAATATTACAAATTTAAAACTTTCTAAGGTGAAATTTATAGCAGAGAGTCGGGACCCCTTAATTGAAAACATATGGTATATCACTATATGAAAAAAAATTATATATATTGTAAACAGTAAGTGTTTAATTTCCTATCAATAGTTAATTGTGTTACAATAATTTTCACCAAAATACATTTTATAAATTAATCATGTTACAAAACCCGAGCATTAACAAAAGTTTTGAATTTTCACATGTGGTTATGAAATACTCAGTAGTCCAGAACATGAAACCATTCCAAGGTAAGATGCAAATCTTATACGGTACAACTTTTGATGCACCAGATATGCATTTTGACAAATTATGTCATGAGGGTTGTGTTATGCTGAATTCATATTCATCATTGAATGTGTAAAATTTCTATATTTACCATCCTAATGTTAGTTATAATAGGTAGTAATGATATACGGTAGTGCGACTTTGTCAAGTCCGACCTCGTTATGGTCCGACAGTGTTATAGACCGACACTATCATACTCCAAATTATCTATCAGCGAAAGGTAGGATTGGCCCGCTCAACGAAGATCCGACGTTGAATCAATGTTGGCAATTCAACTCAATTTGAATTCAATGTTGATTCAACGTTAAATTTTCAACGTTGAAAAGTCAACGTTGAATCAATATTGTATCTAGATTTATCAACGTCTAAACCCAACTTCAACTAATATTCAACGTTTAAACAACGTTGTGTGCCTGCTGGGTTGGTTCTGATCAAAGCATACTCATTACTTTACTAGTGTTAATAAATAAATGCACATTCAATTTTAAAAGGAATTTTATATTCCTCACAAACGAAACTTGGAAAAAAGGGGGGGGGGGTGGTGGTTAGGAATCACCTTGTTCACCAATCCATATGTATGTAAAATTTTGACTTGTCCATAACATTTCAATGAAGTGACACTGAAAGTTCATAATTGATATTAAGATTGCTTGCGATCGAGAGATGTGTCAAAAACTTGACTCAAGGTCATTTGAACAAGTTCAAGGTCATTGATAGAAGAAAAGTGCAACCTTTGCCCATTCTGTAACATTCTAATGAAAAGACTTGGTTTCATCTTGGGAATTATTTTTAAGCTGTAGGTTTGTCATTACCTTGACCAAAATTCATTTGAACATGTTTGCCCTTGACTCAAGGACATAGCTTTTTCAAGGTCACTGCATTAAAAGTGTACTATATGAGTTTGGCACATTTACATATTTAACTTCGAATGAAGGGAAAGGTTTCAAATTAGTATTTAGACCATTTTTGTAATAAAAAAAAACATTTAATGCAATAGCAGGAGGGTTGGTATCATTTTATTAGCTTGCTCACAATAATTCTTGTTTATGAAAGAGAGTCACTATGACAGCTCACATAATTATAAAGAAAAACCATGTCAATCAGGCATGTAGCATCAGGTTTGGGTTGGGTAGGGGGGATGACATCCCCCACCAAACTTTTTTCTCAACGTACCCTAATGTTTAACCACACCCCCCTCCCGAGTTTGTCCGTTTGTCCTTCCGTCCGTCCATCTTTCTGTCTGTCTGGAACGCTTTCGTTTCCACACGATATCTCGAGAACCCTCTGAGCTTTTGCAGTGAAATTAAGCATAGCAACAGTTACTCCCTATGGACTAAAGAAGAACCCTATTGATTTTGTGGTCAAAAAGTCAAAGGTCAGGGTCATAAATAAACAAATTCTGTCTGTTATAACACTTTCCTTTCCACACAGTATCTCTAGAACCATTTGAGCTATTGCAATGAAATTTTACATGACAACTCCCCGTGGCCTTATGAAGACCCCTATTGATTTTGAGGTCAAAAGATCAAAGTTAAAGGTCGTAAATTTATACATTCTCTCTGTGTGTAACACTATCATTTCCGGGCGGTATTTCAAGAAGATTTTGAGCTTATGCAATGTATTTTATACCAAAACTCCCTAGGACCTCTCTTAAAGTGTCCCGCCCCGTTTGTTTTATTAGTATTTATAGTATTACATGTTGCTATTTTTAGCACGGGAGCATGAGGAGAGTTATTGCGTATAACACAGGTTTTTGGCAGAATTTATATTCCTATCACATCTACCAGAACTGTTCAAGAAAGGTTGAATTAGACACCATGTTTTGTGTAAATTGTTTTACGATATCAAACGTGAATATATATACATGTATGTGACTTCATATTTGCATATAATGGTCGAAATTATACAGCAGTTCCGTGGCGCAGTGGTATGTCTCCCGCTTCACATGCGAGAGGTCACGGGCTCGATTCTCGGACGATCATTTTTTTTTCTTTTTTTTTACTAAATGATAGTATTCAGCAAGTGAAATGAAAAAAAAATATGAGGTCTAGCTTGTACAAACTCATAAAATCATCATTACGTTGTGATAAATAATCCACATAAAATGAACCTTCTATACACATATCAAATCATTATATCAATATTGACATATTTTATTTGCTTCAGTATACATGTATACATTTAAAAATTCTACAAATTCAATTAGGGGGATCCGACCCCCCCCCCCACCCCCACCCCCGCCCCGAACTGCGCATGGTTTATTTTTCCCTAAGCGGGGGACACAAATTCTCTGAATTAGCTTGTTGGATTTACATCAATAAAAAAAATGCTAACAGACAAACAAAGAATGTTACTTTTGGATTGAACATTTTTATTTGATCCACTTTCATGAATACATTGTACAATTTATGGATCTATTTTCTGGATCCCTGAGTCTCCGGTAACACTATCTACTCACTTCCAGCATCAATGGTCTGTACTGTCATAATGTATTCTCATAATGATAATCTGAAAAAGTGATAAAATTAAAATGTAATAATATTATACAGCTTTGCCTTCAGATACTTACTAAGAACCATTTCTAGTTGAGCTTGAGCAATGATGATGAATACAAAGCATGTTTATTGGAATCAATTAAATTCCAAGAGATCTCAATGGTTTAGTTTATCATTTTATTTTAAAAAGTTAACTTTTTTACTAAATGTATTATTTACACGTTTTTCCTGTCTAATTCTATATCAGCTCATCCAATTCTGTTTCTGCTTCTTTCCGAGTTTGGCTTCAAAGTGGCGAATTTCATTCTAAAAACAGAAGTATACAACACAAAGTTGAGACGGTATTGATTTTAGATATTCTTTAAATATAAACTTGTAATAAAAAGGTCAATTGGTTCTAGGTTTTGTCAAAACTCTAAATTGTGGTTTTCATTTCTTTCCAATAACACCCCCCCCCCCTTCAAGAAAAAAATAGAGTAAAGAAATTCTTTTCAAAAATTTATGTGCTGTAATTCTAATGATGCTTATTATTTGAACCTAGTTGACTTAAATTAGTGCAGTGGTACCGGTGAAAATGTTAGCTGAATTTGAATTTTCTTTCATAAGTAAACACTGGATGACATCAGCAAAAACCTTTTTTTTAAATCTATTATTTTACTGTGGTATATATACAATTCATTTACCACTAGTCCATTACATTATATACTTGTCTGTATCACAATACTTCCAAGGTAATCCCCTTTCCTAAACTAAAATATATTAAGTACAGAGTTAACCCCCTGCCCCTTTTTCTTTTTTTACGACGCCATAACAAAAGTCATTCCATTTTACAAATATTTCTTAATAGTGTTGATTTTCATAAATTCATAATTTTTTATGTAAAAAGCAGGTATTATCTTAAATGGTAAATAAAGATATCTATTACTATATACAGAATTTTTATTTACCCGACCATCACTCAAGTTATAATCATTATAGCTAGTGAGTGACTTGGTTACACACATGCTGTGAATACAACAAATCAAATTAAACTAAATTCAAATTAAACTTTATAATTTGGGATACAGTTATGTAACTGATCATGACCAACTTTTTCATGTTCGGCCCGCAGAAACAATCTAAGTTGGGGAATTTAATTTCATTTTAATTATCACATTATATAGTGTTATATCGGCAATATTATCGGGGAGGGGAAGGAGGGGCATACCCCCTCCTCTTGGTTCCTCAGGCCATGCATAATCTTTTCTTTTTAGTTATAAAATACTAAAGTAATGCTAACATATAAATCCATCAGAATTAAATTGAAATGTGCAAAAAAAAAAAAAAACACTTGCCAAGTGTTACATATTTTCCTGCATGGTTAATTTCTGTTATAAATTCTTCAGAAACTGTTGTAATGGTAAATTGTAAAAAATTCAGTCACTAACCGTAATTAAGACTCATGAAAACGCCAAAACTGAGGCTCAGACTGCTCCAAGTTTGTAATTTTCTTCTAGTCTTCTGTACACTGTTATTGAAAACAATGTAAGCAAACTACCGTTTATTCCTCCTATGTTGGAGAGCTATACCAAAGGGAGGTAATTTGAAGCAAAAAAGACAGAAAATTATGGATTTAAATCAGTTATCATATATAAATGCTTTAGTTGCCTGCAGATTTTTTTCTTGATTCTTCTAGGACAAATACTGTTTAATATATATTTCATGTTGATAAGCTTTAATGTGGTTGTAGATTTCTTATAGAGTACTGCAAATTTGCTGTTTTTTAAATCAAAATAAACCTCCAAAAACTAGTTTTATTTATCAAAAGGTGAAGAGAATTTCAATAATCAACAGTTGTTAAAATAGAGTATTTTTAGATAAATAGAATAATAATTTAAAAAGCTTTTATTAATGACTAGTACTAAAAAATTATTTGTTTAACCATAAATTCAAGTGTCATGATAAAGTACAAAACACGCTATTTGAAAGGCGCGTGGTTTCGATAGCAACAATGCGAAAAATTATTTTTGGCTTGCTTTTTTCTATTATACCCTTTGTTCTGAAAATTTATATATGAGTTTTAACCAAATCTGTTTCTATGCCACTTTCCACATTTTTTAACTAAATGCTTGATGCTTGCTGATTTTGACTCTTAAGAACAATTTCATCAAAATATGTACACCTGTTCCTAGTAATAAACATAAATTTTATTCTCACATTTAATGCTGAATATTTTATATACAGGGGGGGGGGGGCATGTCCACTACTAATGATACGACTTTCCTGGATGCCTATTACTACTTACAAAAGATTATAAGCAAGATACACAATGTCTTGCAAGCAAAATTATGTCTAAAATTTCATATACAACATCAGGAGCCTGTGTTGATTTTTTTTATTATAACTGCGTACCTTCATTCGTATTTAGAAAATTTGCCGTCAAAACGAAAGTAGGAAAATTCCATCTGCATATCATACCAATTGTGCACAAATAAAAACAATGAACGATTAGAATTATTTAATGACATAAGAGCAAATTATATGCTACGTTTTCAGTAAATAGGTATCAGAAATATTGGAGTTGTACCAATGCAATCAAAACGTATAGTATCAATATAACAACATAGGTAAAATATATCTGAAATGACTGGCATTCGACCTCGCGCTTGTTTTTATACTGTATAAATCTCGATCCTTGCACAAAAATACCCTCAATCATCTTTATACACCCCTTCAACACTTCTGTAGACATTGTTCATGTTGTTTACGTTCTTGCTAATGTTATATGAATCATAATATTGAAACCGAAAACGGCTAATTCCGGCTTCCGGTTTACCACGAGTAGGCCCCTACTTTAATTAATAAAGTAAATTACTTAATTAGATTCTGATAAATATTTTGCCCATAATTTGGAACTTTTTAAATTTACTTTCTCAACCACATAAAATTTTATTTTAGAAAAAAAAACCCATTGAAAATACAGCCCAATTAATTTGTCAATGCCTATCTCCCACCCCCCACCCCCTCACCATCACATACACCCTCTCTCTCTCTCTCACACACACATTTTTTTAACATAGAACTAGATGGCAAAGTTATGTTAAAACATCGTTTATAATAATTATGATAGTTGTTCTTGTACTAAACAGTTTTACGTGTAAACATCTTATTGAAAATTTCTACATTCACATTGGGTTTGCGTCATCACTTATCCATCTTCGATGCCCATTGTCATATTTTTAGATATCACCACTCGGCACACCTCGGCCGATTCATACTTCATCTAATGAAGGCGACGGAATCAGCAAAGGTTTGCTGAATATGAGATTATTTAGCACATGTATGCTGACGATGCAGTGTGGTCTGTTAACCATTTGTGTTTTAATTGGATTATATGGATTATATTTCATGAATTCGTTGTCAGGACCTATGACATTCGGTAAGTACAAGATTTAGTATAGATTGCATAAAAATAAATAAATACAAATGGTTACGTTGAAGTTCGAAAAGGGTCAAAGATCATCGCATGCCAAATTCGACAAATTTCACATTGTCAAGTTATCTCCCGTTGTGGACATTCAGTATATACACTATTACAGGCGTGGATCCAGAATTGTTTTTCGGAATGGGGGGGGGGGGTGGTGGTGTCACAACTCAGTTGTCAAATTTCAGGCCAAGATTTCCTGAGAAGCAAATAAAAAATAATAGTAAAACCAATGATGGTGGGGTCCCTGTTTTCTAAGGGGGAGGATGTCCAAAGTCATTTTTATTCTCTTCAGTAAATAGTCTTATTTAAATAACTGCAAATTCCAGGGGAGGGGGTGTCTGATCTCCCTAGCCACTGACTCCCTGTAACCTGAAATGACAATTGATCTTATGACTCAATAATAGTAGAAAATTTTTCCATTTGACTATATATACATATTTTGTTTCCTATGTTTATGTATGTTTGTCTGTCCACAAAAACTTTAACCTTGCCCATAATTTTAAGTGGATTGGGCTATACACATGGCTTCAACATTTCATAGGTAAATTTCTTTTGGCAAAACCTTTTAATGGGTACCACCAATTTTGACCTCTTGACCTTGGAGTTTGACCCACTTTTACAACAGGTATAAATATTTTTGACCTTGACTTTAATCTTGGCAATAACTTTTGAACAGGTGAGGAAGTACTAGGGATTTCTCTCTTATTTCACATGTGTATTCCTTGTGGCAAATCTTTCCCTTTGATACCAACAATTTTGACCCTTTGACCTTGACCTTGGAGTTTTGACTTACATTTGAGAAACTTCAACCTTTGCCAAAAGCTGCTATAACAGTTGCTGTCACAACAAACGAACAAATTACTAAAAAAACAGTATACATCTACATATTTTATATTCAACAGATATATGTACTTCTGGTCATATCTCTAGTCGATCTCCATTGAATCAGACATGAAGATATTGTAACGTGCGGATACGCTAACTGGACTGTCTTCAACAAATCAAGAACTCCATTGAAAGTTTATAAATTTATTTAACAGGAAACAAAACAATACTGTTCAACATTTCACAAAATCTCTGGTGTTTCACAAACTCATAAAAACCTCTATAACTGGAGTCTTATCCAGTAATTAAATAATTCATGTGCTAGTCTAACTCTCTTAGACCTATTAAAATCCCAAGTTTAATCCTAAACTGGTAATAAACCAGTAATCATGAAAATCCACACCAGTAATATACTGGTAAATAAATATTATTCAATCTCTGAATAAAGTTTTCCCCCACACCACTTAATTAAATTATTTAACCCCAAAAAACTAAATTAAACACACACCTTACACCTGGTGTAATATACTGTCTGTAATCTAATCTCTGTCTACTCTGCTGTCTGCAACTCTCGCTTTTACTATATATACGTCATAAAATACTACGAAATGACGTAAAATACGATAACCAATCAGAAACATCGCGCACCTGATCATCAACCAATCACAGGCGACACGCGATAACCTTATTCCCACGATAACAAAAAGTTGTACACATATTTCACCACAAAATAGAAACAGGTAAAATATTATAACTACTTTATAAACAAAATAACTTTCGTAATAATTAAAGAAGATTGACAATTAATTAAATAAATCGCCGCTTACAACTTTTAACATTTTAAGAAAAATGCATTCTGGGAAACCGCACTTCCGGATTAACAAACCATGCGGCGAAAGAGAAAACATACCAGGTAACACTTTACCGAATAATCGCTAAACAAACACCGTTTTATATGTGATCATGTATACAATATAGGAATCTATAGATAACAATTAATTTAACATCATAACAACATTAAAATCTTGAAAAGCAATAAAAATAACGTATGCGGCAATGCACATCGTCTGACAGTATTCGTGGCTCGTATCATAACACAATGTGCAAAAAAAAATGTATTCAAGTAATACGGTTAAAACTTTGTGATTATAATATTGCTGTCACTCTATTTGTCACAATATAAATATTTTAAAATAATAATTATAAGAGTTGAAAAGGTTGTGCATATTAAAAAATACTAAGCTCTGCGGATGAATTAGATATACCAGTTTAGCTTTATTTTTCTACCCAAAGCACCCTGATTAACTATTTACAAGCATACTTTTTTCTGAAGTGTACTGATTTCTGTCGTCCATCTGTTTGTCTGGAAACTTTTTACATTCTTAACTTCTTAAGAACCACTGGGCCAATTTCAACCAATTTACAGGTTAATATGCAGGGGACTTTTTCCAACATAAATCTTCTTCTCAAGAACAGCAAGATCATTTATTGTTCCCCATTTTTAGCTAAAGGTAGGGGACATTAAATCTCATTTGTTTGTCAGTCTGTCCATCTGTCACAATAAATTTAACCTCGGTCATCATGGTCATATATTTTGAATGAGAGGAGACGGGACTTTTATATTAAACATGTGTATTAGTATTTAACTGGGACAATACCATTCTAAATACACTATGATTTTTATTACCTATGACCTTGAAGTTTGACTTACTGTCATAAACAAATTAATTGTTTTAAATTGATCATTTTGGAAGATAAATGAAAGAGCATTCATTCTGTACATGCATGTATATTGCTTGTGATATGACCTTTCCAAATGTATCATGACTTTTTGACTCTGTGACCTTGACCTTGAAGTTTAACTTATTTTTCAATAATGTTGTATTTCCTTTTGATTGAGAAGAGATACAACTCTCACATTTCTAGTGTACATTACCCATAACGAGATGTTTCCCAACATGCTATGATTTTTACCCCTTGACCTTGATGTTTTATCAAAATTTCAAAAGAGGGAACTCTTCCAAAAGAGGATTAGTGCACTGTTTGAAATGAAATAGGAGATAAGGTAAGACAGGGCTTTTTGCATAAAAAACGTCATTTTTCTACCCCTTTTTGACACCCCGGGGCAAAATCAAAATTCCAAAACCTTACTACACATTTACATGACCCCATCATTCATCTCCCAAAAGATGAATAGGCTGCTGAATAAAATGTAAGAGAAGTTCAGGGAAGATGGGGCTTTTTGCATA